ATATCATAATATGTAATATTAATTAATGAGGCGAAGTTATACTAATGTGTTCAATTTCACCATATTCTCGAGAAATCATAATTTCATTTCTGTACCTAATTTTTGATTACGGAAACGGATATTATTTCCCGAAGCGTGTTGCATATTTCAAAAGCGTATAGTAATTATAACTATTTATTTATTAATGAGATAGAGAATTCGTGAGATAAAAGTAATTAAGACGATAAATCTTATTTGCATAAGAGCGTAAGTGATATAAAATTCGGTTTGTGATTATGAAGTAATATTGAGAGATAAATGTTGTGTTAAATATAAATTTAAATACTATTCGTTAAATATGCCGCATATTGATCTTCTTCGATACAATGTACACACGAAGAAATTTCTATGTGAAATTAAGAGATGGAGTGCCGGATTTGTGTTAATTTGCAATTAGATTAAGTCGGATTAACTGGATCGATGTTCACGTGCACCGGACGTTGCTGGACTCGACAGCAGCACGACCGGAGGCTGGCTGGAGCGGCCACGCGGCCAGCCAGTTTGCAGACAGCCAGACTCATTGGAATTTTAATCGGCGTGATCAAAGCGCACTGGCGACACTCGGCAGCCTAGAACAAACTCCAAACTCTTGTTTTTTCTCGCTTCATTTGCAGTGGTCGCCCAGTACTTTGAGGTTCAGGTTTACGATCAGTTCGCGATACGCGGCAACGCGGCTATTTTCAAGTGTCAAGTTCCCTCGTTCGTGGCCGACCACGTGGACGTGGTGGGATGGATCGATTCCAACGGCGGCAGCTACGTCGCCGACGCACAATCATATGGTAGTAAAAATTGAAGGGATGCACGCAGCGCACTGTGTATTGTGTTCCCCTTTATGAACTGGCAGATCGCAAATTTTCTTTGAATAGGGCGCAGATCAGATCACCAGTCACCGGACGTGAGAACTGGATCGCTCGACCGAGTTAGTCGACATCTTGCATGCGCTTTCTACCATTTTCTCTTTTCCTCCTAATGATACTACGTATCATGTTTGTTTAAGTGTGTGCGAAGTATAAGGCGCATGTAATACGATTAGATATCTTCCATATCGTTGCGACGCGCATCGATGCCACTTGTTTATTGAACGTGTATAACGAATCGTATGTAATGTTGAACATCGATCGCGTCTATTTCAAGACCGGTTGCGCGACCAGTTCTCTTTGATAGAAACATATTCTTCAGTTGCCATATACAGTAGAGTTTATTTTAATTCATAAAGAAAAGAGACGCGACGTTGACGTGAATAGGATTCCTGATTATGATAGGCTCGTCTCGCCGAGCAGAATTTATCGAGTCGTTGAAAACTCCTCGTGATGATTACGTTATGTAAACAAGTTTGAAAATAACGTCTGAATCGTTGAGTACCTGTTTTTATAATTATAAATTCTGAAAGTTTATTATATATTCAATTTTTATTGTACATTCTATATACAATAAAACTGAAGCATTTTTTTTATTGAATAAGGATGTATTACACGTATTTTTCAACGAAATGAAAAAATTATTTTAAAAAATTACAGATTTTTCTTTATTGTATTTTAAATTAGTACAAAAAGGCGGCAATTTAGTACCTGGAAAAATTATTTTGTTAAGAAATAGATACATTTTTTAAAATAATTAAAATAAAATGAGAAAATTTTCTCTTAAACCGTAATTGTATTGTTAAACATAACTATTGATCTTATTAAATTGTTTCATATGTATATAATATTTATTTTTTTAGGGAAAGTATAAATTTTCCATTCTAGTCACTTCGCAGGAACTAAACATTCAATATATTGTTAAAGCTGACTTATCCAAAATAAAATATTTTTAAAATTTTTGTGGTACAAGTTCTGCGATAATACCGAATGTGTCATTTAAATTGAATTCGTTAAAGCTTACAATATATTATTTTGATGACCATTTATCTTCAAATCAATACAATAGTATATCTTCCTCTTTTCTTGAAACATAAATACTCACTTTACATTAATAAAACTAGTTCTTATTAATGAAACTTTTCCTCTTTTCTCACGGCTTATAAATTCTATTAAGATTTACTTAGAAATTACATAATAAACTGCGTTTATATAATAAGCGGATAAACGAGATAGTTGAATAAGCTCATACATAAATACACAATTAAGTATCTTGTTTGTCAATTGTAACGTCTCATCTATCATAATAAAATTAATTCATAATGAAATTAATGACGAAATTCCTGTTATCACTTTTTACGTACAAATCGACGAAATCGTCAATTGTACGAAGTCGAAATCGTGTGTAATCAATCGACGAATGATCAACACGTCCTGTCAGGTGGTAGATGTGCGCCTTATGGTAAAACCGGAAATCGGTGTCTGGTTGCAGTTGTCGGGCAGCGGTATGCAGTGAACGTGATGGACGAACACGTCCTTCGGGGGAACGCCGCAATTATCAAGTGTCACATACCGAGCTTCGTCGCCGAATTCGTCGAGGTTGACTCTTGGATCGAAGACGAGACCACTGATATATATCCTAGCGCCGATTACGGTACAATATACAAGGCGCAATATTTCATACCATCTTCACTCTGCTCGAATATCGCGTGAATCTTCCATTTCTATGACATTTGCAATCCATCAAATTGGCGTATTATATCTGGAAACTTATTATTACAGAAATAAACGCATATAGAACGCAATAGGAATTATGTTCCATTTTTGTGTGTATTTATATTATTCCATTGTCGAAGTTGTATGATTCGTGAGATAACATCTGTGCAGATTTTAGAATCAGTTTAGAACCAGATTCTTCGACTAGTTTTTCTTGTGATTTTTCGTTTCTTTCCTTCTTTCCGATATACCTTGTATTTCAGTTGAAAAACCTAATGCATTTTCTTTGAATTATTTGTTCTGTAAGAGCGATGCATTTCAAGCGTTCGGTAAACGTAGAATTACAGTGGTCGGCAAGCTATTAGTATGCGGTAATGAGATCAAGGATTCTCTCATGACTAACGTCGCCCGACCATCGTTCGGTAATGACACTCCGTTTGACGATCGCTTTCGCATTCGAGCAAAAATTATTCTCGGCTCGACCGTGACAAATAAATAATAATTAAAAACGTGCTGGTTTCAATCACGAGATTTCGAACGAAATACGTGCACAGTGCGACAATGGTTTTGACACAAATTTTGACACATGGGAGGAAAAAAGGGAACGGCAGGAAAAGGGAATAAACTATTTCGCCAATACAAATTTATAGTTGCGAAATAACAAAAATACCAATCCAGGTCGTTTAAATCGTTCCATCGGCCTCCGCTCTATCGACCAAGTACCGCTCGAATCGATATCACGCGAAATACAAGATATACGTGTTCTCTTGTTTTGATGCCCCTCGTTTCAAAAGTACCGTGCAATGCGGGATTTTACGTGGAAGTTTGTACGTAAATTTGTACGACGTTGACTGCCGCTGCTCGCGCTGTTCCAGACCTCTCTTCCCCCTTTCCACCGATTTTTTTCCGGTCGTTCAATTCGGCCCATCCGTCTCTTCTCACTTGTACCCTCCTCTCTGTGTGATAGTAGCTAAATGGCTGTGGATAGCTTGTGTGTGATCGCATGAAACTAGTTCGCCTATCCAGGAAGTCTCGTTTGTCGATGAGATTCGGCCGCAAAAGCGATCAGATTTGTTAGAGGCGTTGGATTTTCAACCACAATGGAGATTAACTTTAACGTGCAAAATGGATTAACAGCAATTCGTTATATCCCGTTTGTTAAGATAATCTGTATCAAGTGATATGGTATATATGTAGATATTTGCTAGAATCATTTTCGAAAATTTAATGATAAAGTCTTTATAAAATAATTTATTTATCTTGTATATTTATAGTATTAATACTGTAGATTTCATACTTATAGGATTATTTTTTGTTTTCTTTACTGTTATATTGTAATAGATACAAAAAAATATATAGATTTCCTGGATACTTCAATGAGCAAAAAGAATATCGCATATATTTACATTCGTAAACAGATGAAAATGTGATTTCGCATAATATCTTTCCCATGAATCTGTAAGTGGACGCGAGATTCTTTTGCTGTTGTTTGACGAACGTGCTTTGATTTCATAAAGAATTCGCCGAATTGTCGAAGCGGGAAATTGAAGGGTCCGTGTTCATTCAGCGTTCGGCGAATTCGTATACTGCATGTAGGTACATTAAGTAAGAGCATTGTGCTTGAAGTATGGTATACAGAAAGAATAATTTTGCCGAGTATATAAAAATTTAGTTAGATTTAAAAATAACTTCTTTATTTTATTAAAACAATTATATAGAACGCTCAAGCATAAAAAGCAAAATATTTGACATTCTATAGCAATTATCTTGAGCGACCTACATAAATATTTTAATGGTCCAATAAAATTACTTTGGCCTAGTAAACACTAAGAGTAATATAATCGACATTATAATTTCATACTCAACAATATAAATGTAATATAACGCATATGTTCTATTACAGTTACATCGTTAATTATGAAATTATAACATTAATGTTATATTACTTTTAGTTGATGTTTACTAGGTAGATCTGAAAATAATCTTTTTGGCTTACTAAAATAATTATATAGAACGTTAAAAATATGATGAGCAAAAAGTTTTAATATTCTAGCAAATCTTGAACGTTCTACATAATTATTTTGACGATCCAATAAAATTATTTTTAGATTGGTATCTAGCTAAATTTTTAGATACTTCAACGAAACTTTCTGTGTAATATCACTGTCATTCGAGCATCGTGCAATTAAATCGGGATAATCGACTTCCTCTTGATATTAATAACATATGTGTGTTTGTAATTAATTGGTGGTGATGTGCTCATAACTAATCAATTTTATAATATCGCATGACATCAAATAATACGATAATCAGTCGATCGATTATCCCGACAAGTTACGTAAGGACTAATGCGCAATGACTAACGTGTGCAACTCTGAACGGGTTTAGATGGAAAATACTTGGTGCTGCCATCCGGGGAGCTGCACATCAGGGACGTCGGACCCGAAGACGGATATAAGACTTACCAATGCCGCACGAAGCATAGGCTCACTGGCGAAACTAGGCTATCCGCAACGAAGGGTCGTCTCGTCATTACTGGTGAGTGAAAATGCAGAAGTGTCTCTCGTTCTTTTTGTACGGAAATTACGATTCTGATTCAACATCGCTCTCTTTGACAAATGTTTCTCGATCATCCTTCGATATAAGCGGAGGGGTACAGTTTCACTAATCAACATTCTATATCTGTTTTTCTGAAAGAAATCAGAATCGTATTTCTAATTTCGAACCTGGATGCCACAGTTCACATTTTTCACTTTGTGGATCAATATAAGTACAGTTATTTGTGGCAATTAATTTATATTATAGACACGCATATTACAATCATGGAAGTTAATTAATTATGAAACCGTTGTTAATAATTTGTTTATCTACCGAGTTAGCTGTAAATAAATCGGGTTAATATAAATATAAATTCATGTGCAGATATAAAATATTTTCCCCTTTTTTTTTCTTTCTAAATATCAGAATTTATAGGTACATCTCTTTCAATTTAACATAAATTTTGAAACATCAATTTTTAAATGCCGTTATTATTAGCTATCTATTTCTCTCATTGTGAGGTGTCTAGGTTCGAAATTATTATCCAAAAGATTATTGATTTTCCATAACAAAAATAAATATACACAAAACTAATATTTTAAGTAATTAGTGTAATCTTCCAAATTAATTTCTAAATTGCTATTATTGTTGTGCAAGACATTGTATTTTCTAGGAAAATCAGTTGTCCTTTTGGATATATAATCACGTTCTACCAACGTGCAATCGTTTGCGCCAACGAGCTTGATCGACGATTTCATGGTCGGTTCTTTCGAAAATACGAAAGACTGTTAGGAGAAATCATTCGATATTTTTACATTACGAATTTTACGTTCGAATTTATTATCTTAGAAAAGCCGAAATGCATGTCCGGCATTTAGCGCGGTCAAGCTCGAGGGTGAACCTGAATGCTGGGACAGGGTACCCCTGCGGGCACGCGCCACCGCCCGCCCAAAACTCGACTCTTGATATAATAGATTTCGAGAGGAAATGTCCAAAGACAAATGAATGATAAAAAAAAAAGAAATAAATGACTTGTACGAAATTCTTTCGAAATGCTTTGCGGCGCCTTCCGCGATCTCCGGGCTCTGTCCTTCGCTCTCGCGTGGTAAGTTTACGGAACATGTTCTTTCAGCCGAGAACTTCACAGTGTGGATGCTGCACATAGTTCTATAGATATATTAGTACTCAACGCAGCTGAACTTCGTTTCGTACTGTGAATTAAGCGAAATCGATCGTATAATTAAGCGGCATCGTCTTTGTTCGCTCTTGTAGTAAATGAGCAGGAACATTCGAACCGTTCACCCAAAAAAAAAGATAATTTAATTGTAAAGTGAAATTTCCGGTAACCTCATATTCTAAGCAGAAACTTTTATAGAAAGAGTATTCCTCTTCCAATGCACTGGATTATTCATCAAAAATGTATTGGAAATTATTCTAACAGTTTTCCTCTTGTATGAAGAGGAATATATTTACTGAAAGCGGAGTGCCCTCTTACGAGTAAATTATATTAGGAATAGCAAGATTTTTACTGCAGATGCAAAACAAAAGTACTCTAACTGTAAGAATATTGTGCTTGGCATATTTTCCTCTTGATTTCAGAAGATTCCTCTTGTGTGTGTGAGGCCGTATACAAGAATAAAATCCTCTAAGATTTCTAGCGGTTTCTGCTAATATTAAAATTATTTTTTTTTGGGTGTTAACTGCGACAATGATACTAGCCATAATTTTCCCATTTTGAACAGAATTCTTTTCAATCATGTTTTATCTTATTAATTTTTATGAAATGTTGAAATCTTATGACGAACTGAAACGCATTAAATTGTTATAGAACTTTGTTTTCCATCCCTTTTAGTTCGTGACTTGTATCACTACTTCACTCAATGACGCATCGTGTAATTCGGGTAGTTAGAAATTCTCTAGAGTTAAGAAATTCTCTTAGATATACTTAGATGGATTCACCGCACCACAACGCGACATTGAGCGCGAAATCACTTTCGTTTCGCCATCGCTTTCGCGTAGCCGTTGAATATCTACACTGATCGGCAGGATGACACCGATAAACGAATTGCTTTGTTCGTATGAGCGGTGCAATAGCGTAGGCAAAGCTGTCGAGTCACGTCGACGCGATGCAATAATCTAGGGGCTACTATAACTAGAGCAAGATGCAATATAGCCATAATGACAATGATTGGCGACACGAGCAGGGGGCTTGACAAGTATATGGCTCTCTACTGGCTTTTCGTTATGCAGAACCCGTGGGCAGTGTGCGACCAAAGTTTCCTACGATGGACAACATAAATGGACTTTCTGTGGGCTTGGAAGGCAATATACCGCTTCTGTGCCCTGCCCAAGGATTTCCAGTACCGTCTCATAGGTACGATACTCTTGATCAGAACAGAGATTAACTTTTGATTGGATATTATTAAAGGAACATATAAAGTAGCTCGCAGGATGGTTTTATAATAATGATACTTTCCTTTACGGTATTAAATTATAACGGACAGTAATTTATAAAAAATATATGACAGGGAATAAAATTCCAGAGCGTAAAAGTTTGTACCAATATTGCTGTAATGTTACAATGTTACTGCAATATTACTGGAATGTTGCAAACATTATTGCAATATTGTTGGAATGTGTGATCTGTGTTGTATGAGATTGTAAAGCAATTAGTAAAGACAGGCAAATTATTACCCATACAATACAGATCATTTTAGCAATATTATAACAATATTGCAACGTTCTAGTATTAATGTAGTATCATTGAAAATGTTGCAGCAATGTTTCTGCAAGCATCTGTGCTGTATAGATAATTTCATTTATTTAGGAATGATGGAATTGTATTGGAGAGGAGAAGATAGTTTATTTTTGTTAGCTAAAATTTAAATATACTTATCTAGATTTGCGATAAAAGACAGTCTTTTATCGGTATTTAAAATCAGGTATTTTATTTATAACGTATGGAAATTAAATTGAAAATTATCTTAGAGAAATAACAGAATTTTTGTAATCAAACTTGAATCTCAACTTTTATCAGACAATACCAATAACACCAATAACCTTTGTTGTTACGCCATTATTTAGCAAATCGTTGTATCGTGTTTGTGTATGTGTGCACAGGGGTTCCCCGTTCCTTCTCATTGATCTAGTTAAAGCATTTAGTGTCATCATTCTTGAAGGTACTCAGATAAATTTATATACGGTCACGACATTGAGTCAATTTATCGCTTATCTTTCCGCAAGGACGATTCTTGATTCGCATCAGAATTACAAGCGAGTTCAAAGAATGAAAAAAAAAAAAACAGAAATGACGTGCATTTTAGAACCAGTGGGTAGTGTGCGCCCAAAGATTCCGTCGACGGACGACGTGCGCGGTTTCCGGACTCTCGTCGGAGACTCCCCTGCCTTGATGTGCCCGGCACAGGGGTTCCCCGTTCCCCTGTACAGGTAGAGACCACAACACTGCCACTACGAGCGAACGCGAATCCTTCGGGATGACCGTTCGTCGCGGGCACGCAAGTCTCCAATTATAAACGATATGATCAGAGCCGATTGGCAGTGTAAGACCCAAGTTCCCGACGATCGACGACTCGAGGAGCTTTCGAACGACAAAGGATGGCTCGGTCACGTTGCTGTGCCCTGCTCAGGGATTCCCTGTCCCCTTGTGCAAGTAAGTCGTACTAGGCGAAGTCGTATGTATTTTTCTTTCTTTCTCTTTTCTTCTTGGGGTCTCGTAACCTGTCGCAGAGCCTGTGGGAAGCGTACGTCCAAAGTTCCCCAGCGTCAGCAATATAAACGGTCTTATCACGTCTACGAACGGAACTTTGCCGCTCCTGTGCCCTGCTCAGGGCTTCCCGGTCCCTTCACATAGGTATTACATTATCGAATATCTTGATGTCATTTTGCTCTTAAAGCGAGTCTCACGTTGATTCTCCATTAGGGAATTGCGATTAAATATTCGGTGCTTGCAGTGAAGCTGCTGGGTAATCAGCAATGACGATACACTTGACATTGCGGTGATCCTCTTATGTCATATAACTAAACTAATTTCTTTAGCGGTATGGTCTCAATTTTATATTAATATACTTTGATGAAAGTTCTAACGCTGTATTCATCTTTGAGAATTAGAACTTTTTAATGGAAGATCTTATACTTTCTAATAGTTTCTGGGATCGCTGAATTCAATTTTAGTGTCAGAATTGTAATAATATGATTATCGTAAAACTCAGTTTTAAAAGACTTTTGATATCTCTAAGTTTAAATGTATTATAGTATGAAAATATTCAAATGTAGTTTTGAAAATTTAAAAGGTGTAGTAATCACATATAAACTCTCCTGCATAAAAGAGAAGTATCAGCAAGCTCAAATAGTTGGAAAATTTGTGTTAAATTTAACATTTAACTTTTGTATTAATTTTACAAAATGTATATATTAGAAAGTAATTATTAGAAAGTAATTATTATTTTACATAACACAAATGTTATGTAAAAAAATTAATATAAAAAATATAATACCGCGACACAATTTGTAAATAAACTGTGGAATCATATTTTTTCAGTAAAATTAACATTTATCATATGTTAAATTAACGCGTATTTTATTCATACATTTTAATATTCATTCTTTGTTTATGTATCTTATCATATTTTATACAATATTATTAGAGAGAAAATCTCTTTTTATATTATTTTTATAAAATTAAATGTTAAGCAAAACCTACATTTGTAGCATTAAGCACAGAGATTTGGACATCAAAAGATTAAATTGCGCTACGTTTTTTACGCTAATTGCGCAAAAATTTGCAAGATACAGATTTAGTTCGAGATTCAGGGGTTCCCCGTCCTCCTGCATATAGATAATATTTTAGCTAGCGGTAATAGTGCGTACGTACGATTCAATAATGTTTAGAACCGGTTGGCAGCGTGAAACCGAAATTCCCGACGATAGATGACATCAGAGGGTTTCGTATGATTAAAGATGGATCTGTCACATTATCGTGT